TAGAACTGAAAACCTTCCTCCTGTTGAACCCCGAACGCATTAGTATTTTCGTCCAAGCACACAACCCCAGGGTAAAACGATTATTTCTGTGCCTATGTCACACCGGGCACTTTTTAAAGAGATCAGCGGCGATCAAAATCGCTCGCGATCCAAGTGTTCGTGTGATTGAGGAATTATAAAATTTACTGATGTGATGACGTAAACTGCGGCTGCGGGGTCACGCGAACTATTATGTTTTACTCACGAGTAAGCTATTCACGAACCAAACTTTCAAGTTGAATCTACCTACGCCGGCAGTTCATGTTCACAAGCAAAAGATAAATGAGCTTGAAAGAGGCGATGTTCATTAGCGGCAGGAAGACAGACAATGAGTCATGTGCTCGCACAGATGAGAGCTCACTCGCCAACGTCCCTTTCGAAAAATCAAATGCAACGACAACGAAACGTGGACGCCTTGACGTACACTGTGCGGCGATTAATGTTAAGCGCGACTACTTTGTGCCCCGTGTTGTTTTGAACAGTACGCATCATTTATATAGCTCAAACTATGAAATAAACACCTTTGCGATGGATTTTTCAATGTTAGCTTTCACGTTTTGCTGCCTATTCCAGGCGTCAGTACACTTATCTGCAACAGGTGGAAGACGACAGTGACTGATGTGTTCCCGGTAACAGGGGTCTTCGACTAGTCTAACGCCTGAGTATCGCCTCTGTGCCATAAGTCTGCGCTGAGCTTTACATTCCCTTTGATGAAATGGGCAGAACAAACCTACGCGCTCTTGGTGGGAATCCAGTTTTCTCACGTGATCGCTGCAATGCAAGCACTCTTTCTATCGTCATCGGTCAGAAAACAGAAAGTTTTAACTAGCATATAAAATTATTTCAGGCATGTAGACTGCATCCTGGCTTCACAAAGCTGTGCTCGAGTTGCGAGCGCTTCATCAGAATAATTTTATTCACATATAAAACATCGGAACACAAGCAGTCGCAGCCAGCAACAAACGCTAAAACCACGCAAAAAGAAGCTAAACCGGAAGTTTCCAGGGGTGGTTTCCTGGTGAACACACAATGTTGCCAGAGACCGGCAGGCTCTGGCGAAACCGTTTATACCTGTTCACTACTATACGCAAAGCATGGGGATCATGGGGCAGACTGAGTATTTTGTGCCATTTATTTACGCATTCACAAGAAGAAGATTGCTAGGAAAAAAGTTTTCATTGCGTGAACATTTTGGATGTTGCATCTCTACGGAAGCTACTGCCAGAGGCTCAGCCTATTCATGGCACTGACGAGGTTTTCCAGCACCGTTTCGCGCCTCTCAATAAAATCCTCTGTTCATCCAGCGAGAAGCGCAATCAAATCAAACCTTTCCGAGTGTTAATTCTAAATAAACTTAATTGAGCGGCACAAGAAGCGTACGATTCTGTTTTGAATCTGAAAATACAAAACAGAAAACATGTTGCCATAATAAAAGACGCACATAAACCTTTCTTAGTTTGTATCGACCGTTGCCTACTACTTTTCTTCATTTTTTCTTAAAAAACAACGTAAAGGTTCACAAGCTGAAAGGTGTTATCACAGCACTGGAGGTAGTGCATTCAGCAAAGCCACTTTGCTTTGGCCTGCTGTATTTAGTGAACAAAGCAAATGAGGACATATATTATTTAAACCATGAATTGAGCGACATAAGCGGACTTCAATAAATTTTGGTTAATATTGGCACCGTTTTTTTTTTCTTTTTCGAAAATGACCTTTTTTGAAAACACTAGCTAAATATTTTTTTTCTTCTATCATGCTGCGCCTAGGAAAAAAATCTTTAGCAGGAATGTTGAAAAGATATTAGTCTATATTGGCACTTGTTTTTTGAAATTTTTGTTTGAAATAAATGCACCAAGGCGCATCAGAGACCCCAAATTTTTTTTTTATTTTAACCAAGTTTGCCTTTTTTTTTCTGAATTTTTTGGTTATGCAGACAGCTTAAACAAACATGGATATAATTTACTGTGATGCATATTAAAAGAAAAATAATAAAAATTTCGACACAATATTTACAGTGTGCACTCAATTCGCCTATGAAATTGGAAAATGTTCCAGCAAGCAATAGTGTGACATGCGTGCCGCCACATTTAAACATTTTTTTTGGCGCGCTAAGATCAGTTTTTGGAAATAAAATTTTCAGTTCCATGTACCTCAAGTATACCCACATAACATATAAAAAAAACTAGACAAAACAAAAATATTGTCCGGACACGCATGTTCGATCTCTCATAGAATCACCCCCCTTATTTCCAGTAGAAACTTTCCATCATTACTGAAAAAGCTTTCATACCATCATGTTACAACGCAAAACATTTTATCACTTATATGGAATAAGGAGCTAAGTTTCCAAATTTTTCATTTCTTATAAAATGGCTTCGCACCATTGGGCCCTTAAGTACAAACAACAGGATTGGAAACCACAAGTGATATATGATGCTGAAAGTAGACTTAAAGGGGCCCTGCAACAGATTTCCAGGGTTATAATAAAATAGTCTCACTATCAATGCATGAACCTTAACGAGTCACATGCTGCAAATGTTTTTAGAATCCCTCAAGTACGAGTGGAGTTAGATATTTCCTGCGAGCTTCCAGTGCTTTGTCTTTTTTTTGTGCCAGTAAGCATGCTGAAGGCTAAGCAGGAAGGAGGATGACAAGGGGCAAAAATATGCGTCTCTTCATTAGTGTGTACCATGACCTTGAGGGCTTTTCTGGTTTTTATTCAATCGAGTGGTGTACTTTTAGAATGATCGTGGGTAAGGCGCGGCCACAGCAACTATTGGCCACGAGATCGAGCAGAGTTGCCGCCTGGTGGCAACTGGTCGAAGAGGCGAAGTGTGGATTGCTTCGTGCGTCGTCTGCTAGTCGCGTCGTGTTTCTATGTGTGCGTACGTCATGTACGCTCTCAAAGCGTGGTTTGTCTGGTAATGTCAGCGCGAGTGTAACTGTTTCTACGTATGCCTGAAACGATGTACAAAAAGTATTTAGTATTGCTCGGCTACTAATGCATTGTAATAAGATGGGCGGTGCAAATTTACAGAGTGCTGTTTATTGTCGTCGTAACCTCCATTCATGAGAATAATTTCAGAGCAGGTGCCGCTTTATGTTTCAAGCACATTGGAAAATGCTCTTGGCATCCTCCCAAACATGATGCCTATTAAATGATGTGCGAATGCAGCATTTTATAGCGACTTGGTTGTAAGAACAAACTATAGGCCATGCACTAGCACGCTGTTGGTAGGTGTACAACTACGATACTGTAGTTTATCGATCATGCGAGGAGCCTTAGTTGTGTTTATCTGGCCCTGGTACCACTACATAAAAATATTACTGTCACATAAACAGTGACACATCAGTACTTAAACTGTACTTAAAACAGAGTTACCGCGCGCAACTGTGTGGTTAAATTTAAGAATGCTTTAGAGAGCCCAGACATTGAAATTTTATTCAGACGGCATGCCTTATATATAATGTCATATAATTTTACTGAAACTTTTCGCCTTTTTTACATTGTCTTCAGGGTTTGCATGGCATTGTTAGTGACCGACAAAAGACAGTGGTAACTTTTTGCCTGAAAAAGAAAAAAAAAAACATGCCTGCCCCATTAATCAGGCCTTTGTTGTAGCACTGTCATGCGCGTAATCCATCGATGAAAGCTTTCTGCTGAACTCTTATATAAGATTTTTATATTTTTACTGGTGCAAGAACATGTGCGTACACGCAGTAAACACAGTGTAGCACGAAGCTCAGTCAGGCACTAAGCTTTCTTGACTGTCCCACATTTCAGGGTGAATAGAAAGGGGAAAAAATATGTGTATAAGGTGTGAACGGTGGTTCTGAACTAATCGCACAGATCTACAGGCTTTCTACGATCTTTCTTTCTTTCTTTTTTTTTTTTGTTGTGTGCAGATGACAAAGCTGTAAATAAGTAGTTCAGTCACACTACAGCAGTGTGTAGCAAGCGGAACACAAGCCAACCACGTACAAACAACACAGCAAAGGCGTGATTTAGTGCAAAAGCAGTAAGAGTCACCCAGTGCAAGCATCCCTATGAAAGGCAGAATGAGCTTTACTCGTGGCTAATGTTAACATTGCATAGGCGTCGTGCATCGATTCAGTAAAGAAGAGCGTGGATATTAACAGTAAACTGTAGTCAACGCATTTTATCCGCCGACAATCGGCTCAGACCGCACGCAACGAAGCGTCGCTGCTTGTATTTGTATACGCGCCACTGACCGCTTATCCACACTTGCGCGGGGACGGTGCTACAACCTATAGCCCGACCTCGCCGCGAATAGCAGCTCACGATGCTCAAATTGGTTAACCACTGTGCTTGCGAATACATGGCACAGAAATTCGGGACATCATCATCACCATTAGGCTCACTACGCCCACTGCAGCACAAAGGGCCCTTTCATGTTCCACCAGTCAACCCGGTCCTGTGCTTTCTGCTACGATGTTATACCTGCAAACTTCCTAATCTCATCTGGTACCTAACTTTCTGCCTTCCCCTCAGCCACTAGCCTTCTCTTGAAGTCCAGTCAGTTACCCTTAATGACCAGCAATTATCCTGTCTATGCTACGCACTACATGCCTGGCCCATGTCCATTTCTTCTTATTGATTTCAACTATGATATGCTTAACCCCACTTTGCTCCCCGACCCACCCTGCTCTCTTCTCGTCTCTTAAGGTCACATCTATCATTTTCCTCTTACATGATATTTGGGTAGATGGCATGTAGAGAAAAGAGGGAGCGATTTCTAGCCAACTTTGAGAATTTACTGTAAATTCTAAGCCACATGCTACGCTACAACGTCTGGTTTGCGTGTTCTTGGGAGCCTCCACTACCAATGGGCAGCATTTGCTGTTCATACTAACATTTAAAAGAACCCTTTAAGAGTGAGCTACTTTTATGTTGACTGTTTTCTAACACATGATTTATATCACACTGCAACTTTGCTCACCCAAAATTTTCAGTGCCCGGAGTAGATTCCAGGTTAAACTCTGCAACAGGGACACCTCGAGCAGCAACTTCAGGAGCAAACATAGCTGCTGGGTATACTACAGAGGAAGTCCCAATCTGAAATAGGCCAAAACTGCCAAATAAGCACAAACATATATGACATCCATGGTAATTTTGGGGGGAATAAAACAACACAAGAAGGACAACAGGACACAGCGCAACTCTTCATTACACTCTAAAAAAAATATTGAGCAAAAAGGATGTCTCTTTGTCCTACAACAATAGGTAATCGTCATCAGGCTTGCGTGCGTTTTCTTTCTTAAAACTCTGCGCTGGCCACTTTCCTATTGAGAATGCTATGTAACGCTGATAACACGCATATCGTTCATGACCATAATGTACCGGGCGCGTGGCAATAGTGGAAAGAAGAAATGCAAGATAGATGACGGTTATTGTTAACATGCATGTCGTTTGTGACCGGAATGTACCGGGCCCACGGCGATAGCGCAAGGAAGAAACGGAAGATAGATCTTGATTATTGTTAACACGCATGTTGTTCGTGACCGGAAAAGATGCCCTTTTTTACTAAATATTTTTTTAGAGTGTAGTAGCACTGTGATTTCTAGTCTTTCTTTTGTCATTTTGTTGTGCTATAATCACTACTGACAAGCACCAACTAGCCCATCAATCCACTGTGTTAAACCATACATGACATGCTTTGCATTTTAGGGCACACAGCAATCTTTCAAGCACACACAGTTCCTAAATATTGTTCCTAAATATATAAATTTATTGGCTATATCGAACAGTTTAGAAATCCCTTTGAACTTCCTATGCAAATATGGGGCTGGTGCACACGGGTATATTGAACTCCCGCTTAACAAGACATCCGCTATACCGAATGCTGCACCGTGCTGATGCCCAGAAAGTGCATTTGTCATAAAAAATAGTTTTCATTTTTTGGCAGTGTTTTAACAAGTTCCAATCATATTTTGTGTGCAGGCAATAAAAAGGCAGTGTTTTTACATTGTGTTGATCTGGTTTATTGAGCAGCATGTGAGAGTGTCGCGGTATGCGAGAGTGTCGCGGATCTGGAGGTTTTGATATATGGGCATAGTATTCTTTAGAGAGGCTGATTACTGAAGGCACCAAACCAAGAAAGCAAAGTGACTCGGCAACCTCATTGCAATGTTCACATTCTCTATCTTGTTTGTTTGCGCATGATAGCATGCAGGCACGAAAAGCATGGCCTTGCAGATGCGCAACCTCGTGACGATTTTTCGTGTTTTGAGTTTTTGACTTTCTCTTACGCCAGTGTTTGCACACCCTGTTTTTTTACAATCTTTTCATTATAAAATGCACTTCGTAGAGGCTACACTATTCTTGCCTCTTGCGCTAAGCAGCAGCTGCCTGCTACGAAGCCACAAGTGTCATCGCTACCACACGCATGTTGATGGTTGGGACTCGTTCTGTTGTTCATGGGCAGCGTCGTGTTCTGTGGCTGGTATATGCCTCACTACGTCCCTGATCATTTCTTATTTTTGAGTCGAACTAAACATTGACCCGCTCATAGTGATAAAAACGATGACTGGGGCTTGAAGTGACATCAAGTAAAGTAACGCCGTGAATTGTTTCTTAATTGGTTCCGGTGCCAGGTGACGACTTCGGGTGCATCATGACTGCTGACAACGACGTACGGTGCATCGGTGCATTTTGCAACTTAATAAACTTAATAGCTTTTCCAGGCGCCATCTTGGACACGAGTAAAGCGAGCGACTTCATCGGTGCCAAGATAATGGGCAATGTTGCTAGTGTCGTACCTGTACAGTTTCGAAAACGTGAACACCCCCGTTAAGCAACCTTTTATCGCACAAAGATTGCGTTGGGCGTTTAGCATCAATCCCCCTAGTTGTGGCCGACGGTGTTGACTTTGCTTATTGGGAAAGCTTCAATGATATTGAGGATTTAATGAACCTGACAACGAACACGAAGCAACACAAGCTCATGAACTATTTTCATGGAAAATAAAGTGTGGTACCTTGCAAAAGAAGAAGTTTTCATTTTGTTCTTTAACACAATGTGAGTGAATAGTCATGTTAATGACTGTTATGATTTCAGAAAACTGTTCTGTGGACTGCAATGCTTTAATGTAGGCCTCAAAATGCTTATTTTATATTTCGAATTATCTATATATTGAATTATCTCACGATCCCCTTCGAGTTCAATATATCCGGAATCAAGAGTACTGACAAATGAGAACGTAGGCTCAACTTGATAATTTGATCATGCCTTCCCCAATAACATTTTAGCAGCATAATCATACTCATGTACAACTATTCATTCAGTCACACACAAACACATGAATGCACCAAACACACTGGCATAGTTGGGGCATTTATATGGAATAACAACAATGGGCACAAGGCCTGTTTCCAACACACCTATTGAAAAAGACTGCAATACAGTTAGCTCATTATTTCTATTCACTAATCACAAGCAGCACTGAATGCTGATATTGTCAATATGCGAGCATCACGAAATTTTAATTGTAAAATGCCTGCATGGCACCCGATCTGCTTACGTGAAATTATGGCAAACACTTAAGCAGTAACTAGATATTACTGAAATTGAAAGAACTCCATTCGTGTGCTTTCGCTGCATAATTAACAAATATGAATGTGGGGAGACAAAACATTTTAATTTGATAAAGTTGGTTTTGGAATTCCTGACACCAACATCATCATGATCGTACACATCATGACAGAAAAAAACAGAACTGCTATTGTGTAGCAAGGCTTGGTGTGACGATGCAGCTCATGAAACATTTTATTATAAGTACTGGGCGCAATCTTTCTGGCTGTGCAGACATGTGGCTAATACAGCAAGTGCAGTGACAAAGCAGTCCAATGTCTCAAGACATATCAACACGATTCATACGGAAACCAAAACTGGCTCCTAGAAATAATTACTACATTATAAGGGTACTCTAACACTCCCTCTAAAAATGAAATGACTAGTTTTTCATTTAGTACACACATAAAAAATAACTATTTGGAACTATATCAGTGCATCTTTATAAGGAAACTAGGTAGCAGTCAATAATAAGTCAAGCTACATTGCTACTTTGACTGCAGTCACCATAGGAACATATTTTCAGCTAACATTGCTTGCAATCTACTTGCACGTAGCAAGTCATCTTGATAGTCACTTTTAATTTTCCCAAATTGTCGAAGCTTCTATACAATGGCCTCCTTCAGGAAACCGACGTCACGTAAATGCATTAGGTTTACATTTTCTAAGTACCGTATGACAGACTCCCCCACAGCTATCATAAAAGAAAATAATATACAAGGAAACCGATGTCACGTAAATGCATTAGGTTTGTATTTTCCTAGTACCGTATGGCAGACTTACCCACAGTTATCATAAAAGAAAATAATATACAAGAACTCCAGCTTTGTCGCAGACTTCTGAGATTAAAATTTCTTTTTCATTTAAACAACAAACATTTTGCACTAGATGCCTCTATGTTTATCGAACCACTGACGTCACGAGAAACTAGAAATCGTCACGCTGCGTCGCTAACACCATTCCAGACACTTAACAACACATGTTGTTGAATATAAATTGTTATGTGTACTTGTTTGTATGAGAGTATTAATTTCGTGTGTACATTGCGCACGTTGACAACCGATTGATTGTGATTTTTTTTTTTTTTTTTGTACAAGTGCTTGTTCCCACTCCTGCATGGGCTCTGATTTGAGCCTGCAGTATTCTGTAAATAAATAAATAAATAAATAAAAATAGATAGATTTCTTAAAAGCATTTGATTGTCACTTAATCAATCGATTTTAATACCTGCCCTTCAGCCCTAATTTAGTATAGATTCAAAGCTCACTTTTCAATTATTGCAATCCACCAACTACTACTGGCCTAGTATTTGTTTCCAGCACGGGTCAGCTCTGAACACTCACATTTGATTTTCTTTAGTGATCTACCAGCTGGCGTTGCTTCTTTGTACGATTTGCAGATGAGTGTGTTTCTTTGCAGATGGCTGAATGGCCAATCGCGACCACAAGATGGCCTTAAAATAACCATGTGGTTATTTCACAGGCAAATGAAACTATAAACATGTGAAAGAGCAAATTCATGCAGTTATTTTGGAGGTGTTCAAACAGCAGTTTCAAGCATTTGCCTATATTCAACAGCATTTGAATATGTATCGGGATGGGACAGCTGGGGGAAAGCTTTTGGTGCAAGAAAAAGATGACTTTAGAATGACATATCTTGTTCTTGGAACAGGTTAACCAAGTGAAAAAGCACACCTTTCACAGTACACTGCAAATATACAGCAGCACTCGGTGAAATAAGTGACTGCCATTTACATTATCGTTCCTTCTTGCATTAACTCCAACAGTCATAGATACAAATTTGTACCAAACCCACGATGTGAAGCACGCTGTAGTGTGGGCACTTCAGATAATTTTTTACTACTTGGAGTTCTTTAACATGACCTCTATCTACAAGGGGAACTACACTAGTGCTCCTGCATTTCACCCCCTTCAACATGCGGCTCAGGAATCAAACCTACACCCTTGAGCTTATATGCTATTCCTAATGGATATGGCGGACCAAGCACCTTAACACTTGCACCGCGAGTGACTGCACATGCTTGCTTCTGCACTCAGGACCATTGGCGTACTGTGGTCAACACTCACAGTTCGTCATCAGCCCATCAACCATAACAAGACTTCTAACACACTAAAGCAGAACACTGAGCAGAGCAGCATAACATTAATGCACTGTAGATTAATGTTATGCTGCCAGCACCGCAGAAAATGTTGATCACATAACATTCTTGCTAGAAAATATTTGAAAGACAGAACTCTGAAAGTAAATTATTTCAGGGATGGTACTTCATGTGCAAGAGCCTGATTTTGTCAGCATAAATTTTTTTTCACATTAGTCAAGGTTTTGTACAAACTCTGCAGCAACTTTAAACCTTTTATTTGAAATTATTATTAAACGTTAGTAACTGTGGATACTAGTTGCACAGGCTTAACAAAACAGAGAAAAGGCAGAAATTTTTTTTTCAATACTTTTTTTTTAATTTCTTCTAGGGGTACTAAATATGTTAACAATAAGAAAAAAATATTTTTTTGAAATGCTTTCTGAAAGTTGGCTATACGCTTAAAAAATATGCATCTCTATATTACAACTCGCATGTATGCAATTACAGTGGCATATGCCATGAAAAAATAAACACTGATGCTTCATTAATGCGAACTGTGTAGCCGACAATGGCCAGTTCATGGTATTACTTAATACTATATGCACTACCTTTTTCCTTTGCAGATATGGACAGTAATATGCAAATGTGCACTGTACTAGGTGCAGTGGCTAGATAGCACTGCTGCAAAGCCAACTGATTTCTGGCTGCTACAATGCTATCAGTTTCAGTTTACATCTAAAGCTCACAGGAACAGTATATTGCAGCATGATGTATTTCCTGTGCATAGTCCACATTCCTTTACACCAAAGGAGTTGCCTTTTTAGGGGCAAAGCTCCTTAGGGTGTGGGTCATTCTTTCCTCTATTTGTATGTAGTATGTATGGAGCCGCATCTACTTTATGAATTGCTCACAAGACGGCATTGTGTGTATATGTCCGTAAAAATAATATCACTAGATGGCATTAGCGGTTTTCGTATAGTTGACAATCAAAGAGAATAGATGGTGCTGTTATAAGAACGAATTCACAGCATACCCACAAAGTGAATGATGATGAGTAAGGCGAAGCATTCATCGGATGCGTACTCTTGCGTGATAGGAGCAGACGGATGGACAGACAGATAGATGGACATACAGAGAGACAGATGGAAGGACGCTTCGCCCCACTCATCATCATTCACTCCGTGGATATGCTGTGAATTTTTTTGTTTTGCCAGAGTAACAGTAGCTTCTTTATTCTTTTATAATTTTAAATGAGGTTGCTCAGTAGTGCTTGGAGGACCAAGACATATAGAATGCAGTTTCCATGCAGCTACTTACCACAAGACAGAGATCACACCTCTCAAGTTCAACATTTGCCTTAGCAAGAACGTCTGGCTCTAGTGACTCTCCAAACCAAACAACATGAGGCCTCAGCAGTCCAGTGCACTTCTTGCACCTGTTTCAAAGCACAAAGATGTCAGCACATATTCTGCACTGAACAGTGCAATAAAATACTTTCGACTTGTCGGTACCCATGCACCTATTATTGCATGTGACATTTTTAGATTATTTACTCATTTAATGTATCCAACTCAATTTCAAAATTAAAACTTATGTATTAAGTGGCTTCATATTGAGTATTTGTTCCACGTGAATATGCCTTGTGAACTCCCTTGCTACCATTTGTGAATTCCAATGTGCTCTGTAAAGCAGTCAGGTAAAGCTTAAATTATGAATGTTAGCAATTTCTCAAATACGTGCAACTCAATTTGTGAAGAAATTATTTTATTTTTTAAGCAATATAGCTCACAGTGTAGAACTTTCCAATTTTTTTTTAATTTTAGGCAATCTTGGTGGATTGTACACCCAGAAGTAACGCGCATCCACACATGCACACACTGCGTTCTCATTTATTTATTCTCTAATATGTGGGGTTCAATGTCCCAAAACCACGACATGGTTATAAGAGACGCCGTAGTGGAGGGCTCCGGAAATTTTGACTACCAGGGGCTAACATTCACCTAAGTCTGGGTACATGGGCCTCAAACATTTTCGCCTCTATCGAAGATGCAGCCGCCTCAGCCAAGATTCGATCCCGTGAACTTCGGGTTAGCAGTCGAGTGCCATAACCACTAGACTATCGTGGCAGGGCAACAGAGAGACATACTGAGAGACATACTGCGTCTTATTTTGAATTAAAGATATCACAGTTTGCCGAGGCAGATTAGTAATTCCATTACACTGACTGTGTTACTCAAGCCAACCCTCCTTCCAAAATTAAGTTACAGATTACCTCATAAGTACTTTTATTACTAATAAAGCACATGCTAAAACAAAGCCAACTAATAAAAATTAAAATGAGTTAGGCAGAATTGATTGATTTGTGGGGTTTAACGTCCCAAAACCACCATATGATTATGAGAGACGCCGTAGTGGAGGGCTCCGGTAATTTTGACCACCTGGGGTTCTTTAACGTGCGCCCAAATCTGAGCACACGGGCCTACAACATTTCCGCCTCCATCGGAAATGCAGCCGCCGCAGCCGGGAATCGAACCCGCGACCTGCGGGTCAGCAGCCGAGTACCTTAGCCACTAGACCACCGCGGCGGGGCAGTTAGGCAGAATTCTGGAACTGGTATCTGTTTTGAGAAGTATGTCCTAAAATTTGCAATAAAAGGCACTAACATCACAGCTAATCGTTAGTATCAGCACTGTCTATTCCATAAGAGGACGAAAACTGCATCACCATCATTGCCAGCTTGAGCAGTATGGTAATCGCACGAAAGCCAGAATGCTTTGTGCCTATTCGCATTTACCACTACATGTGACATCATGTTTGTATCAACATCATCAGCCTGACTACGCCCACTGCAGGGCAAAGGCCTCTCCCATGATCTGCTAATAAACCCGGTTTTGTGCCACGTTATACCTGCAAAACTTTTAATCTCATCAGCCCACCTAACTTTCTGTCTCCCCTTTGTGCGTTTGCCTTCTTTGGGAATCCAGACAGTTACCCTTAACTCTTTCGCTACCGCGCCTATACAAATCATTCAATTTGAACGATGCATTTTCAAATTTCGATTTTTGCATGCTCGTGGAGTTTGCGGGCACCTAACGTCATCTATGTAAGAAAGTGGGAAACACACAACGAGATCCGTGATGTTTTGGTTGTTTTTTGCTTAAGGGAAGTTTTTTCCTCGCCTCAAGAAGTTTAATGTAGCTGCGTGTGCGTGTCTGCCGATCATGGCGTCGTTTTCTCGTGCGGACGGTCCTAAAAGACGACACGGTTCTTGGAACCGAGCGCATCAACAGCAGATTTTGATGATAGAATCAGCAGCAGTGAGTCTAAAAAATGTGTTGACAAATCAACTTTCAGCCCTGATGACGAAGACGCATCAAGTCATGCCGCAAAATTGAGCAAGTAAGTGCTGGCTGTATGTGTGGTGTACATTTTGTTGTCTAATTAGTAGTTATGGGTGGCGGAGTGTGTACTCACAGCAATTTTACTCATTTTGAGGGTCTCAACGTTCTACGGTCATGATTTCTAGCCGGCATTTGTCAAGCGTGTGCGATGTCTTTCAAGGCGAAACCCAGGGGTCAAAGTCAGAGGCGCACTCCAAAGTAACTCACGGCGCTTCTCCTGGGCCATCGATTTCATCCAGCTGTTTTTCACTGCACAGCTGACCAGCATGATCTGCGACTACACTAACAAATATGCGTGGATACATGTTTTAGAGAGCAGACATATGCAGAAAGTGGCGGTTCGGAGAGGAACTTCACTCCCGATGAAGTGCATTGGAATCCTCTTTTACATCGAAATCATCCAGTTACCTCGCATTCATATCAGGGTGTCTACCAATTTCTAAATTCCCTGACTTTCCCAGGTTTTCCATGATGATTAAAAGTGACCGCAACGTCTGCCTGGAAAACTCTGTGCACTGGAAACAAATCCTCGAGTGGTAAAAAAAAATTTAGGCACTCCATAATTACCAGGCACACTCAGAATATTGTGGGTGCGTGCGGTAAATGTGAAAAAATATGTATATCTGCCCAAAATAAAACCCCCGAGCCAGGAAATGAGCAAGTCAGCTGCTTGATGTTCAGACAACACCGGATTTGCAAGTAGGTGTGACTATAAAATGCTTCGCATTCAGAAGAAGCTTGCATCTAGCCTGCACCTGGAATCCAGATACAGACGACTGCACATACGCTGAACAGGACTGATGGGACGCTACTGACACTGTACTCTCGCTGCTTACGTCACGTATTTAGGCGTACTTAAGTACACTGTGCCTTTCTTATAGCTTCTATAGTGAACAAGGCTCTCTCCCATATTGGGTGCCGAAACCTCAGTGAACTGTGTTCCATGGATCGGTGTATCCTTTTGTGTTTACACTATGAAGCAACAGTTATGCACAGTTCTTTTTTTTTTCTTCACATCTCTTCTAGCCGCTCACTGTAGTTGCAGTTGAAAGAGCAACTTTTTTTAAAGGGCCACTCATTAGGTTTGACAATTTTGAGCTGACGAGCGCAATGCGTAGACGAGGCGTTCATGATCACGTCTGCCAAAATGTCCAACGCTACGCGCCGCGGAAATGGGTGAAATTTCAAGATGAACGCTGCTCCCCCTCCCCTCTGCCGGCACACGCCTAGAGAATGAGGGCATGACGTGGGCGTATGAATGGCCCTACGTACACGGCAATGCAATGACATTGGTCCTCTACGTAGACAACTCTGTTTCGACGTTGTCAACAGTATACCACGTGACATGGCAAAAATTATTTCATACAACATGCGAAGTTTATGTATTTGTTGCTTTAAGAGAATAATAAAACTTGAAATAAATAATGAGACGCAATAAAAATTGTGCGCGTTATCCTTTCATTTTTTTCCCCGTGAAATGCTACGAGATGCGGGGCTAATGTGCCAGAGTTTCGCATGCGTTCGTGTCCTCGCGGTCAGCGCATTGAGCAGACCACGGCCGTGGAACGCTCCTATGCGTTCGTGCACTCATTATGCTCATCTACTCTACCGTGTCTAAGCCAGCGTTTCCAAACCATCCCGCAGATACAGGCAGAAAACCACAAAATAACGCTGGTCAACAAAGCAACGCTGCTCGCGTGCTCGGGGGTTGGACTTGTTTGGGCATGTCATGCGCACGTCGCCTCATGGTCGGATGCTGGAGAGGGTGGGGAAGAAATTTGGCTTGCGAAGGATACGCGGAGAAGCGGCAGGGGTTTCGAGCTCATCTCCTCTCATCCTCATTTCGCGCCGCTTCAAAAACCTGTTTTCCCCGCTCGTGATGAACCGATTCGAAAAATTTTTGTGGCAAAATGTTCCTCATCAGACACCCAACAACTTCCACTGTCTAACTAAAATTCGGTATGGGGCCTGGTGAGTGGCCTTTTAAGCTTTGATCAATGGTAATGCTTATTTTTGTAACGGCCGCACAGAGCTGCCGTCAGTTTCCATGACCTGGCCAAGTTTTTCAGAAATTCCCCGACTTTTCAATGAATTTTCCAGGTTTTCCAGGTTGGTAAACACCCTGCATACCGTATTTACTCGCATAATCCTCCCACTTTTTTCTTTTTTTTTAGCGGAAAACCAATGCAAAGTTGGGGGGTGTGATACTTGCGCGGGGAAAACTTTCCATGAAATCGTACAAAGCAAAAAAGAAAATGAAGTGGCCGCAAATCGGGATTCTAACGCCAGAAACTAAGTTTGAGAAGTACTAGTTAAGACTTACCTCAACAATAAAAGCACAAGTTTAACGCAAGGCAAGCTTTATTGGAGACATAAAAAGCGCAAGCAAACAGTTGAGAACTAGAATACCGTACACAAAGCTTGTGGGCATTGCGGGCGTAGCGGGAGCATTGGTCACTCAACCGGAGCTCGCAAAAGGTTAGCATACGACGTCAGTATTGGGCTGATGGCCATTTAACACAGAATCGTCCGCAGTTGCCTTCTGACGAAATATGGTTTACCATCCATCCCAGTCTTATGCACACAGAAGGCCCAACGCGTCTTGTTGGCTTTCAGCTGCCGTCACCAGTAGCAAACACAAAACTCGTCGACTCCGAAAAGCCTACTGGCAGTCCTGTTGCCATTGTTTAGTGCATGACCAATCATTTTCAACTTGAAAGCAGCTGTGTAGCTTTCGTATTGCCCCATAACATAGCAACATTACGGACACAACGTACAAAACACGCTGCAATGCACACTTGCCACTTTGGCTTGGCTTGGAGTGGATTGAATCTCCATGCAATAATAGTGCCCTTTGTGCTTAGGAGATGGTGCAAGATGGCACGCACTATCATCATCAGTGGCTGGAACGAGCAGACGACATTATTGCACCAATTTTCAGGGGTGCGATAATTACTCGCAGAAAAAAATAATAAATCGATACGTAAATACGGTATCTACTGGAATACCTCCGAGTCACTTCCAGGCCTGATTT